TATATATATATATATATATATATATATATATATATATATATATATATATATATAGAGAGAGAGAGAGAGAGAGAGAGAGAGAGAGAGAGAGAGAGAGAGGGAATGGCGTGAGAAGAAAAGATCAAAAGAAGAGGAAGAGAGAAGCTTGGGTTCCGAGGTTGACGGTGGGCCGGAAGAGGGAAGACGTATGTTCCACCGAGGGTGAAAGCACAAACAATAACAGCAAACAAAAACATTTTTGTTTTCTCGATAGATCATCCTGGTATTGCATATCCTAGTCGCGTTTCGAGAATCTGCAATAGGAACACCAGAGTTTACCAATTTCGATCTTTCATATATAGGCGATTGTCGAAGCTTTTGGGTGGAGTTCGAGAGTGTAAGAACGGGAGAGTCTCACACACACACACACACATATATATATATATATATATATATATATATAGCTTGTAACTTAACCGTCTTGTTAACCCCTTCTATTTATATTTCATATTATGTCTTTGATGATAATGACTTGATTTATATTCCTAAAGACTTGCTGACGTATAGTAGTGGTTACTCTTACGTGGAAAATATTTGCACTCTCAATTGAACACTTACCTCATTTGCAATTTTTTATCGACTCTTCCTCTCATATATTCTTCGAATGTGTTTTTACTTGTAATTTACGATAACTAATTAGAAAGTGCATTACAACTCTTCTCCTATTAGCCTGCGGCTATTGACTGTTTGAGGGACAAGATCTACCGAAGGAAGATGTCGAAAAAAAAAAAAAATCTCATTGGTTCTTCTCTCTAGTTTTTATGCCTCAATCCCAATGATCACATATTTAGTAATTCACATGATTTTTATGTTGTAAAGTGGATGTCATGACAAGTATTTTTTGTCCAATTACATTAGATACTAATCAAACGTAAGATAGAGAATAATACTTTTAATACTACTAATTATTGTATCTCGGATTTTGATAATGAAATCAATTGATGAGTTTACGATCTAATCTGCGTTTTGAGTGACACGGTGCTAACTTCGATTAAAAAAGATAAATTGATTAAAGTATGAGGAATCGAATATTGGGCCGAAATAAAACATGTAAAGAGATTAGATGTTGAGCCGGAGGATCGGTTGATATACCGGCAAAAGAACTTCATGTCACGAGTTCGAGTATCGGGCCAAAGGATTAAACATTGCATCAAGGAGATCAAATATTGCGGAGGTTAACATGCTGATTGGGCAATATGCTGAAAGAGAGGACGATGCGTCAAAGGATCGAACGAAGCGTCGAAGGATCAGACGAAGCGTCGAAGGATCGGACGAAGCGCTGAATGAACCAATGACACATCGGATAACATAGAACTCATACTTATAATAATTTATCTAGATTGAAGTAGTTATAATTATAATTGAGTTGGTTTTAGGTGTAACTATGCCAACTCAATTAAGGGCCCATTGGGCTTGAGTTGGGGCTATTTTGGGCCAAGTAAGACCCATGCAACACCCCTTAGCAGGCCTAGGTGGTGGCATCGCTTAGGACTCGGCCTCCTAGGTTCTCTAGATAGGGGTACTGCATAATGTCAATGTTAGACTGAGCGGTGGTACCTCCCAATGTCAGACTGACAAGCGATGGTACCATTAGTTATTAGTATGTCAGGCGATGGTACCGTCAGTATACTGAAAACTCATAATGAGATTGTTTTGGCTCCAAATTTGAATCCATTTGGGGCTTATAAATATCTCAATCCTTCTTGCTTGAAAAAGCACGAAAGTAGAACCAAAATTATGTGATTCTAAGGTTGTAAACCCTATTAGAAAATTAAGTTTCCTCCTCCATATGCTTAGAGGCTATTCTAAGGGAGAGTGTGAGGAAATATTTGTAATAAAGGGGCTTAAAAGGTTCTCTCCTGAACGTGTGAAAATGAGAAAGAGTTGTAAAGGTAGTTGATTTTCGTCCGTTGAAAGAAAATCGATAGTGGAAGTGAGTGACCTCGAGTGAAGAGAAATCGAGAGTGGATATAGGTCACGAACCACTATAAAATTGGTGTGCCTCCCTTGTGCTTGTTTACTTATTTTGCAACTGCTTTACCTGCTCATTACTATTTTTGCAAATGTTTTAAGTTCAAATATTTTTTCGATACGACTTTATTGAATGAAGAATTTCAAATTGACGTAATTTTACGTAAGCACTAATTCACCCCCTCATTTCGATTCTAACACTAACTTGTATCTTCTTAAATATATCCTTCAATATGATAGTTTTTTTCAATTAAATTCTTTACCAAGCATAGGATACATGATCAAAGATAATTAAAAAAAATATTTTTATATATTAAATATTAATTCATTGCATATAATACAGGTATTGTAATCTAATATAGATAATGTAGGCTCTTTCTTTTTTTTATGTTACTTGATTCTTTCATTTATATCCAATGATCCCTATTTTCTTATATGTTTCTTCTAGACTTGCCAATAGCAACAGGTAGTATAATACACTAAATATCTTATCTGTGATCCTCAATAACTGATAAGCACCTATTCTTATAATTAATTCTTCCCAATATGTTTCGTTATCAAATTTATGAATTATAATCAAACATATATTCATTCGTAATAAGTCATTAGAACATAATAAATAATAACAGATTAAAAAGATAAACATTATAAGGAGGAAATAATATTCTTAATCAAGTATTATATAAATCTAATAAAAATCAAATATCATGCATTAAAAAAATTAGAAATGCATACAGTATGAATAATTTCAATATATTTTAATTTGAAAATAAGATTTTAAACATTTAAAGGGATAAAAGAAAATTTTAGAAACTTCATGTAACATATTTTAATCTAACAATAAATTTTTTGATGATTAAATAAATAAAAAAATATTTTAGAACTATATATAACATGTTTTAATCTAAAAAATAAAAATTTTAAACATTTAAAGAAATCAAAGAAAAATTTTATTTTTCAAGAAAAGCAAAGGAACCTACCTCTCCACAGTTCGATGCAATTTCTCATTCCTTTTGCTACTAAACTTGGCTTGGTAAAGAACAAAGGAAAGGAATCCCTTCCATTAAATAGGAGAATGTGAGGATATTTTTATTTTTGTATTTAATTTAATATTTATTTTTATTTAATTTACTAACAAAAATGATATTATCCTACTTGGAATATTGAATAATTATTTCCAAAATTTTATTAGCAAAAAAAGAAATAAAAAATCATGCCTAAATTAAGAATTTGATTACATCCACTACTAAAGTCACTAAATGGGTAAATTACAAATCTTTAAAACTAGCTAAGTAATGCACTTTATTTTTAGGTACTGGTGGGTATTTTACAAAATTTTAAAACTAGCTAAGTAATTTCTCTTGAATCTATGTACTCAAGAGGTGGGTGCGGGACAAACAATTTTCAAATTGGCTCTCCATTAATTAGATAGAGAAAATTATCAAGAGTTTATGATCCCTTGTTATCAATTACAATAGCTCAGCTCGAACTCAAATCATGAGATTTTTGGAATGCTTCGTATCAACAAATAAGAGATTCGGTATATATGATTGATTCGATCAAAGTCCGTTATTGAATTGCTCATTTAACGAGCCATCT